GATAGACATTAGGTGTGGGCGATAGACATTTGGTTAATTGACATTTGGTTAATTGACATTTGGTGTGGGAGATAGACATTTGGTATGGGAGATAGACATTTGGTTAATTGACATTTGGTGTGGGAGATAGACATTTGGTGTGGGAGATAGACATTTGATGTGGGTAAAATACATTTGGTGTGGGTAATTGACATTTCGTATGGGTAATTAACATTCGGTGTGAGCGATAGACATTCTGTGTTGGTTATAGACAGTACAAATTCGGTGTTGACGATTCACATTCGGTTGAACGGAAGACCTCCGGTTTATGCGATAGATTTTCGATGTTTGACGGGGGCAGAGTGTTTTCGATGTCAGCGGTAGCAAAATTGAATTTATGAGTTCGTATTTGTTGAGAAATGATATAAGGAAATGATTTAAGTGGAAATATGACATTAATCCTTTGATGACAAGTCCGTAAGGTCGATATAAAAACATAGCTTTTAACCATTATTGTATGGCATATATATGACGAGCAATACAGCAGACCCGCGTATAACCCTGCATCTAGAAATCCCATTATCACCAATACAGCAGTGCCATAATCCCACTATTGACCTCGCCTGCGGTCCACTAGTCAGGAAATTGTGTAGTATTGTGTATTCTAGACGTCATGGTGTTACTTCTATACATTTAAACTTACTTTACATAAACTGTATAGATTTACGAGAAGGGGAATATTGATCAGATACCATTGTGTATCCTGGCTTCTTCAACATGTAATAACTTGTATAGGTGTTTTGGTGACCACGTTATTTGGCCTGAGAGGCACAACAAATAAGCTCTGATAAAATTCTGTAATGCAACGTTACTAATGTAACACCCTCGGGCTCCTTTTTATCCGAAAAAGTTGTAAACCGACCTCCCGATAATCCGGAAAATTCAGGACCGTGGATAAAATTTCAATATTAGTTTTCCAGAATCTAAGAAGTTCAGGCCTTAAATAGATAAGTCGACGGAGAAATTAACTTAACAAGAAATATTTTAACTGCAAATATGAAAGCCACGAGACAATAGCCCTCCACCACTGGGGCGCTGGTTCGAGGCCAAAGTGGAGCAGTCGCCAGGTACTGGCCGCAGGTCGTTGGTTTTACTCCGGATATTCCGGTTTTCCTCAACCACCCAAACCTGTCATGTTCTAAAATGACCATAGCTGTTAATGGGACGTAAAACACAAACAAACCAAACCAAATCAAAAGAAATGTGCCGATACTTTATAAAGCAGTCCATTCTTTTATCCAATCATATAAACAGCCCGTGTCCAGTACATCTTACAACCCACCAAGATGGAAAGAACCGTATCAACTACTGGGAGATAAGTCCAAGCCATATGATACAATTACTGTATTTCATTTAACCTTTATAATTTATAAAAACAAGTCAGGAGAGAAAAATGACAGAAACCATCTTTAAATAGGAGTAATCTGGGGGGGGGGGGGGGGGGGGGGAAGAAAGTTGTTCCAGACATTCATTTCGAGTGTTTAAGTTTTTTCATATAGTAAAATGGTTCCACTCTACACAGCGGATCTACCGCCCGCCATACCCATATGCAATCTGACGCGATAAAAGTTACCATTTAACTCTGAAATATCCGAATGATGATGGGAAAAATAAATTAAGACACAGAGATGTTTAACATTTAAAAAAAGGAAATATCATAAGTAAATCAATCAATTTTGATTTGATAGGTTGTTACAAATAATAAACCAAGTGTGTTGAAACTACTGTGAAAACTATACCCGTCATTTATCAGAGCATTACTTCCTACTGAGTAGGCAATGTCGTGACAAAACTACATCAATATCTAGGGGAGAAGTTTTACTCCATTTTACTTAACATGATACCAAATATCAAAGAACATTCCAACCAAAACACACCTGGCTAGTGTATGTGCAATACTTCCTGAATAGGCCCTGGACATAAATTAGCACATAGAATATCAGGCTCTCGTGACAGAAAACATAGATCCGACAATTTTAGAACCTCGACATATCACATAGACCCGACAATCGCAGGTCCTCGACATATCACATAGACCCGACAACCGCAGGACCTCGACATATCACATAGACCCGATAATCTCAGGACCTCGACATATCACATAGACCCGACAATCTCAGGACCTTGACATATCACATAGGTCCGACAATTTCAGAACCTTAACATATCACTTAGACCCAACAATCGCAGGTCCTTGACATATCACATAGGTCCGACAATCGCAGGTCCTTGACATATCACATAGGTCCGACAATCGCAGGTCTTTGACATATCACAAAGACCCGACAATCGCATGACCTCGACAGGTCACATAGACCCGACAATTTCATGCTCTCGACATATCACATAGACCCGACAATCTTAGTACCTTGACCGATTACATAAACCCTGGAATCTCAGGCCCTCGACATATCACATAGACCCGACAATCTCAGGCCCTCGACATATCACATAAACCCGACAATTCCAGGCCCTCGACATATCACATGGACCCGACAATCTCAGGCCCTCGACATATCACAAAGACCCGACAATCGCATAAGCTCGACAGGTCACATAGACACGACACTCTCAGGCCCTTGACAGGTCACATAGACCCGACAATTTCATGCTCTCGACAGGTCACATAGACCCGACAATTTCAGGCTCTCCACAGGTCACATAGACCCGATAATCAATGACCTCGACAGATCACGTATACCCGACAATCTCAGGCCCTCGACATATCACATAAACCCGACAATCTCAGGACCTCGACATATCACATAGACCCGACAATCTCAGGCCCTCGACATATCACATAGACCCGACAATCGCAGGACCTCGACATATCACATAGATCCGACAATCTCAGGACCTTGACATATCACAAATACCCGACAATATCAGGCCCTCAACAGATCACATAGACCCGACAATCGCAGGACCTTGACAGATCAGATAGACCCGACAATCACAGGACCTTGACAGATCACATAGACCCTGGAATCTCAGGCCCTGGACATATCACATATATCCGACAATCTCAGGCCCTCGACATATCACATAGACCCGGCAATCTCAGGACCTCGACAGATCACATAGACCCGACAATCTCAGGACCTTGACAGATCACATAGACTAGGCAATCTCAGGACCTCGACATATTACCTAGACTCAGGAATCTCAGAACTTCTACAGACTTACAAACTAAACTTATCTGCGCGGTATTATCAAGTCTTGTTTTGTAAATTGGACAGATCCCAGATTTTCTATTCATATTATATCATCTTCCCATCAAAACAAGGCTCGAATTTCATTCCCTTTGGCGTACCTTATATTTAAAGAATTGGTAGACCAGACTGTCAAATCGGTGTATAGTTCCCTAATTAAATAAGCTCATTTAAAATTTAACTGCGTAGTGTATAATATGCATATCATATGCATTACATCAAAGATTATAAATTCCATTGTCGTTAAACATAACTTATTTTTATTTATGAATTAATATTTGATTCAAAGATATGTTTAAAAAATGAAACATGTATACTGAATTTTGTCACCAAATTCTAAATTATTTCGTCGACGATGTCCTCCTGGTTTTTATTTGACCTTGATAATTCGGATTCTACAGTAGTCGAAAAGTTCCTTTTACAGACTCCAATACGCTATTCACTTTTTTTTCAGATAGTACAGATTTTATTCCGCTTACTGAAATGTAAAGGTTTCGATGCACACAAACCAAGGTATCCGGACTAATATGGTTCCACTGTATACACAAACAAAAATATTCAACTAAATATCCGGATTACCGAGATTCTTTGTACACACAAACCAAGGTGTCCGGACTATCGAGGTTTCACTGTATACACAAACCAAAGTGTCTGGTCTAACAAGGTTTGGTTATATAAACAAATCAAATATCCGGACTATCGAGGTTTCACTGTCGACTTAAATCAAAGTGCCCCCTCATTCCTTCACTTCATTCTTTCAAAACAGAATTATAGTGATTGAAATAGTCCTATTCTAAACTCTTAGTCAACGTATAGACTCGCGGCGGATTGTAAACAACCCCGCCTGTTCAATATGACAAGGTATGATGTTAGCTGTTCTATGGCAATCAACAACAACATAATCGGTATAGGATGACTTAACAAAATTTCAGTCGTCATTATTTCATCGATTTATCCTAGATAATGTGCATTCAGATGTAAATAATTCAAATTTAATACAATCTGCATTTAAAATGTTTAAAACTAATAAATCATACGGCATTTGATCAAACCACAGACCACACCCATCAGTGGCTGAAATTTAATGTGAAGCTTTTGTTGTGTGTCGATGTGTTGTCTGTCAATAGTGGATATTCGCGGTGTGGGAATAATTGCGTATTTCGCATAAAGTTAATTAGAGCGGAAACATACACACGCAAATATGTTTTTATAGATTATAGATAAATAGACTACAGTTAATAACATTTCAGAATAACATTTCCGGTGCGAAAATGAGTCACAGCGCGAACATTTCCACACGTAAGAATTTCCACTTTAACAGTATACGAAATGTAGTGTTTGTAGCCAAGTTGTATTTAAGACGACTCTGGCCAAGTTATCCAAGCCTTGTTTGCTTACAAATAAGATTACGTATCAATTTAACAGAAATTACAATTCTTAACAAAAACAGTATTTTCTATGATTAAAGTGATAACATGTTCGTTAGAAAACATGAAAATAAACTTATGAACTCATCTTAAACGTTGATTTTTTTCAATGAACTAAGCTAAGCATTCAGCAAACGAGGCCTTTAAATAACTTGTGTGACGTAAAGGCAGTGACATGGCCCATATATTCCCTAGACCGACATGACATACGAGATACATCAGTTTGCACCTAATGTAATGGTTCGCGTATTCATGTCAAATCGTCAATGAGACGTGAGGGATAAGATCCATCGAGTTTGTAAAGGATTACAGAAAGACAAACTGAATGTTATTTTTTCTCTTATTTAATTAATCACAGTGGCAGCCATTAATAACTAATTGGTGATTATAAATAAGACATGTAATTAACAATTATTTCAATTAATCTCAGTTTTGTTTAAATGCATACATTCATATTACCGGTACATCATTTTGGTATACAATCCCGCACATTCTTTCACACGCGTAATCATGTCCCACACAGAATCAAACTTTGGTTATCTGCCCCTGACGGGGGCATCGGTTACCTGCCCATGGCGGGAACATCGATTATCTGCCCCTTTCGAGTAGATGCTATAAATAGAATGTTTGCATGGATTGGTGTTTTCCTGACGATCCGGTCCGAGAACTAGTGCTCCGATCGTCCATTAGTACTTTAGTCTGGCTCCCTGAGGAGTCCCGACTGTTTCGTCGGTTCATCTTTGGGTCACTCACTATTTTTTGCAACTCTCCTCGGCTAGAGCCACTGGACGAATCCTGTGTTTGTTGATTACACTTAATACGAATCATTGGGGAAGATTCTGTCCGTTGGTATCGCCGGGGCGGCAGGGGAGGGGGATTGTCCTTTTTGCCCGAGGGGAGTTGTCCCGCGCTTTGTGAAGACATTATCACTGCGCCAAAAGAATGTCTATGCTGGTCAACACGGCTGCGGACGGGCGAGTTTTCGTCCCCAACATATAAACCTGAAGTCGGACGATAGTACTTACTGTTTTTGTGTGCTGGCTGACCCCGCTCCAGCATAGCTAACCGAGCACGGAAGTCATCCAGGGGTTCGTACGCAGGTTCCTCGAAATAACTTTCCTCGTCAGAATCATATCCGTATTTCTGTTGGGGAGGGGATTTTCCCTCCCTGATATACTGATACAGATCGTCCATTTCATCCATGAGGAGTTCCTCCCGGCTTTTCGACCGTTTCATGAGCGAGTTGGCATTGTTTTTCCGGTTGATCGTGTTGTTTTGTTTTGTGAGAGAGTTGGCGAGATCTTGGGACTTCCTCCGTTTGACAGCGTCGGGAACAGCCACAATCAAATGTATCGTATTGTTGTAATTGGCGATCATTTTGTTACATTTGGTCATCATGTCCTTAAAAGACTGGCTTTCTTTGATTTCCTCCATATTTTGGACCGGGTTGAGCTTGAGAGGGACCTCGGTGGGCACCGGAGTGATCCGAATACTGTGTTTGTCCAAGGGACATAGGAATGCTGTTTCGTCGGTATATGTCCAGTCGAGTCTCATGTACCCTGTGAACTTTGACGGGTCCACTTTTGGCCATACACCCATCACAAGTTTCACTGTTAGTGGAAGACGGAACACTTTAACTATGTCTTTGAACATGAACACACCCGAAACATCTCCAGGATTGGCGATAGGCGTAAACGTCCCTTGTTGGTCAAAACTCAGGTACAGAACTACGCCCTTTGAGTCCGTACACCTAAGAAACTTGACCCTATCCCCCGGACCGTTGACTGTTCCCGCAAGGGTCAATTGTTCCCCAGCTGGGATCACTTTAGATTTATCAAAAGTTAATTTACCATCTTCATTTGACATATAACCTTTAAGGTTTTGTCTGACTAAACACTTACTTGGGAACTCCCTTGCGAGTCTATATACACTGTCTATGGGCCTGGCCGACCGTCCGTCCTCAGACAATAGTTCAAACCAGCCATTATAAGACAAAGGGATGCTAAGACGCTGGTCCAGAGCGACAATCTTACTCGTCCTTCCGTCACGAGCCTCGAAGCGGCTAACACTGTGTGCTAACACTTTCACGCCCGTCTTTATAGAATGAACAACAACGTCCTGGTGAAATTTCCTCAGAGGGATTTTAGATACTCCTAAATTATGGAATTGTCCCTTTGTTATTTTCGCTACCATCGGTATCTCACACTGCATAAGTACGTCCTTCAGAGAGACATGGGTGGAGTCCCATACAGGGGCCGGGAACCCCGCCATGTCCGTCGCTGTCGCCATCTCCAGTGTACTTTGTGAGATCGATCGGTCCACCTCGTACGTGTTTCCGTGCCTATACTTGGAAGACTTGAGTTTACCTGTATGCATGACGCTGTCAGTCAGTGTTTACGTGCCGGTGTACTGCCTTGATATTAGCATACCTGTCGGACGGGTTTGTGGCAGACGACGTGAGGCACTAGAAATAAGAACGGGAGTTTGACTTACGGGCTTTTATAGGTAGGCGACACTGCGTTCCCTCAACCGTGGCGTGTTCATTTACCTACGTGAGTCATTAGCCATTGTACGCCTCTGTAAATACCCTAAACAAACGTGTGGGGTGTATATGAACAAATTGGAGCACACATGAGTTTAACAATTTAAACAACGCATTTTTCTCTCTCTGTTACTTTAGTGTAAAGATTTAAGTTATCAACATGATTTAGGCCGAAGATTGTTTACCTGATTGCTGTTTGCTAATTATTTATTAGTATTGAATATCACAGTAGTATATGTACAGTATTAGATTTAAGTTAAAACAAATTGTCTGTTTTGTTTGTTACCTTTTGTCCTGTAAGTTTGACGATAATCGTATAAAAATGACAGCATATGTACATTGTACAAAAATGCAAGGTATAATACTAAAATCAACAGGTTAATCAACAATGTAATTTCGGTACGTGTTCCTTGACATACCAATACAGATTTGATTAGGGTACTGATCGATCACACAAACAATTGGACCCGTGTTACGTTATACCTGTTACCTGGGGCAACGGTATCATCGATAAGTGTGTTATTTACCTGGTTATTATTGGGAAAACCAGGTTGTATGCATACATTATCAACGGAAACGTCATTTGCAGACCTTCATCTGAATTTTTCATGCTAATTCAGCACAGGTGAAAAAGATAATATTGTGGTTTTGTACCTGCTACCTGTAGTCGTGCTTACTATAAAAACTATCTTTATTAATTAATTTGTCACATTGACGATTGTTGTATTCAAATCTACACACACAAATCGCTTATTGGAAGTGTTCATTCTTCAGTGCACATTATGTTTGACGTCTCAACTGATGCGTACTGTCCGAAGTCATAGGATTACATTAACAATTCATATTACATGGTGAAATAAGCTTTCTACATTTTGTATTAAACTTCTATTGAGTACGTATTCACTGTATTTCTGTACAGATTGTTTCAAGATTTTCAAAATATATAGATGATTTTCGCTTCATTCTGAAATGTCCATTTTATTCACTTCATCCTAAAATGTCCATTTTATCTAGACCTGAGATGTAAATATATCAAGCGATTCTATCACACAAGTCCTAGTATTTCAAGTGAAGTTAACGAAATTATTGAGTACTAATTATGTAAAAGAATTGTGTAACCTCGGCAACCATTTATATTGTGCTTCGAGAAAAACGTGTAGAAATCAATGGCTGATATGAAAAACTACTTATGTCCTTGTAACAAGCTCACTCGCCACTTAATGAGTTTGAGTTTGTTTATGTGAGTCGAATGGCTCTCGGAAATAAAGAAACTGAAAACTGAAAAAAACACCCATGGCACTCAAAAGTGTATAAAAGGAGGTCAAAAGGTCAACAAAAAGAGAACACGTTAAAAACTTCATGTATTAAAACATTCCATTTTATGCATTTTCCTTTCCTCAAAAAAACAACAACAAAAACGATTTTTGAGAGCAGATGCTACTACTTATTGGTATCGTTTTCCAGTTATAAAGCGACGGATATATATTTTTCACCTTGAAAATTGATATTATTTTTACAACTTAAATTGATACAAATTAGACATAATGACACCACGACTAAATAATTGCCTAAGAGCGTGTCGTTTTGTCCGATTGGTCATAAATTACCTACCTAGCTCTCGGATTATACCAGATTAACTCCCCTTTGTTCTACCAAACGCGGTCTGGGGAGATGTTTGACACTTATATTGATCCTGTCCAGAATGTGTCAAGGTGTGTCAATTTGTTTATTCTGTGTTGTCGTCCCTAATATTTACATAAAAACGGTTCTTAGATTCTCGAACTATCTTCCCTGACATTTCCATTGTCATTAACTGTTCATTATCATTATATTTAGATAGAAAACATGAATAAACAAATTAAGTGAAATCAAAGCTGTCAACACCTTATTTAAACTCAATCACCTGTGTACGTATAACGTTCATTTTTAAAACAATCATGTCGGCTAGGCGCACAAAACATCTTATTAAATGCAATAGACATTTGTATAAAAATAAAAACAAAGGTATGATTTTCCTGAACAAAGAGAGTTGAATAGGAAGTCACACGGTGTAGGTACAAAACGCCAGAGGACGGAGATTTGGTCGTTAAACTTGGTAACAGAGTGACCTTAAACCACAAAACATATCGATCAGGCTCTGTTCGTGGGGAGGTGACGTCACGCCGGCCCGGGGGACAGGCAGTCATCATATCTTGAACACGGATCTGAAATGATTTCTGGATGGTCACCATGTCACGTTTTCCGCATATATTTTTTATATTTTTAAAATCTTGTTAAAGCCTGGAGTGGTTCACGCGTTGTCAGTGTTGGGATTACAAATCGTTTTTGCCCTGGGAAAGAAACCTCAAAATGAGTATTCTTCCTGTTTATATACACAGGTGTTTCTCTGACTTATTATCTATTTATAGACAAAAACAAAATGTTATAATGGACGCATTACAGCTAAGATTTGAACAGTAGGTGTGACTTGGCACTTATAGAATTACATAGAATTACATTGAAACACATAGAATTCATCGATCTGGCAATGTTCTACAGCATAGGAGGCCAGTATGTGTCTACGGTTCACAACACCCATACATCCTGTCACAAGAGAGTAGTTACTTTATGGCTAATACGCAACATCAGAAATACAATTGTTCGTTGGAATCAAGCCCTTGATTAGCTACAAAACCGAATTGATTTTGCAATTTGTTCCATGGCACGTTCCGGTCATAATGGTACCCTTGTGTGTGTGGATAGTTCGATAGAGATTGTTTACGGGTAGATGTCCGTCAATGACCAGCATGTGTGTATGCCAAAGCTAGAATGTCTGTAATTGTTCATCGGGGGATCAGGGGGACCGACAAGACAGTTGTTCCAATCTGACAAATTATATCGTATCATTACCAATATACTGGACACAGCATACAAGTATATATTGATCAGCTGGACATAACACCGGTCCGAACTTAAACCTTAATACTTGTACATGTAGATTTTGGAAATGTGTCCTAGTACTTGTCTGGGTACATTCTATAACATATTACCAGAGTGAGTCAGAAATTGTCTTTGGTCAAGTACTTTAATATGACCGACAGCTAAAGTCACCGCTTCAGAGCCTCACAAACGAACGACTGTGAGTTTGTACGAGTCGTACTAACGGTCACGAGTCAGCAAGGTTCCCATAAATGGTTTTAAGTCAGCAAGGTCCCCGTAAACGGTTTTGAGTCAGCAAGGGTCCAATAAACGGGTTTGAGTCAGCAAGGGTCTAATAAACGGGTTTGAATCCGACTGCATGACTGCAAGAGTCCTGCAAGCGGTTACCAGTCTACAAGGGTCTTATATGAGTCGCCTCAAAGGATCACTTTAGATGTATATTAAGCAAGCGTTTAGAGATAATTGTAAATTTTTAAAGCTTTCTCCCAGTTTGTTTTTAGTGTCCTCAAACGTAATTGGACGTGAAGGTGAATGACTTGAATGCCGTCCCACTATTAAAAGAGCGTGGATATACCACAATGTATGTACAATATTGAACGAGAGTCCTATTGTGTATGCAGGTCGTCGGTCAAGTTTGCCTGGATCGGTCAAACTATATGTCTCTATGTTGTGATGGTCAAACCTATATGTCCAACGTGTGTCTTCACTGATACGGTCAGTGGTTCAAGGGTAAGCGCCGTAGAAATTATCGTTACGGCCATCTTGTGGAATCCTTTGTAATATTACGTGCCGTATTGTCCGAACTGGTCAGTCCGGAGGCCGAGTCTGTCTTGACATTATTCATATTTAGTTTGCATGAATAAGTCCCTTGCTGATCAACTGTGATAGCTGAAGTTTCCCCTTTAGATCATTAGCGCGCCACGCTTCGGCTATAGGCTATTTGTATTAGGCTACAGGGACTGAAGCGCTCTCTCGACAGCGAAGCATGCAATTCTAGATGTATTTGTTCACTACATATTTAATACGACATATGTCGGGCGAACTACGTCACTTATATCTATACATTACAGTTCAGCCATGTCTATATACTTACGATGTGTGTTACGATTACATGGTGTAGGATGGAGACTACAGGTAATAAAACATCCCTTTGGACGCCACAATGACGGGCGGCAGCATGTTTTACGGATTGTCACGACTAGGATGATGGCGTTTCGTATGTTAAACGCTTTATTTATAACTTAAACAAGACTAATTCGGATACATAAAATTTGCGATATGCTTAGCAGGCATTACAAAGAAAAGACGAACGCTGACCTTGCTTTGAAAACGTTGCCCTTTTCCCTGGTAACTATATCAACACGAGCAGTGTATTGTGTGCTGTACGATCGTGTTTTTGACCCCTTCAGTTTTAGTCGAATTTAAACATACGGCTGTCTTGTCTTCTGTATCTTTATGTTAAGTGCTTTGGTGCTTTGAATATTGTGCTATTGTCGCCTCAAATGTCCTCAATGACTTGGTGTTTTGAATGTCGCAGTGTTATCGCCTCAAATCCCCAATAACTTGGTGCTTAAAATATCGTGCTATTGTCGCCTCAAATGTCCCCAATAACTTGGTGCTTTGAATATTGTGCTATTGTCGCCTCAAATGTCCTCAATGACTTGGTGTTTTGAATGTCGCAGTGTTATCGCCTCAAATGTCCCCAATAACTTGGTGCTTAAAATATCGTGCTATTGTCGCCTCAAATGTCCTCAATAACTTGGTGCTTTGAATATCGTGCTATTGTCGCCTCAGATGTCCTCAATAACTTGGTGTTTTGAATGCCGCAGTGTTATCGCCTCAAATCCCCAATAACTTGATGCTTAAAATATCGTGCTATTGTCGGCTCAAATGTCCCCAATAACTTGGTGCTTTAAATAGTGTGCTATTGTCGCCTCAAATGTGTTCAATAACTTGGTGTTTTGAATATCGTGCTATAGTCGCCTCAAATGTCCTCAATAACTTGGTGTTTTGAATGTCGC